CCGGTGAGGGGTCCCGCGGGCGCACGCGTGCGGTGGAGAACCAGTACTCCTTCTACTAGCCCGGCGCGGCGGTGCCAAGGCCCTGGGGCCACCCAGACCCTCCTGGCGACCGCCCACGTGTCCATCAGACCAGCGGACTCTGTCGGCCCCAGGCCAGCGCTGGGTGGGAAAAGCGAAGCTCTTCAATGAAGACATAAATGTTATTAAAGAGCCTGTTTTAGGGACTGCACCTGGCTCTTCTGTTGTCCTTTCTCCAGTCCTGGCCTTGGGCACCGCTCCTTCTGGGACTACAGGGGAGGAGGGGGTACCACACATGGAACCCCCTATCCGGCCCACTGTGGTCTGGTGCCTGCCTGGCCCCCACCCAGCTCTGTCTTAGGGGACCCAGCTCCCCAATGGCGAGAAGACAATTGGCAGTACCTGAATGAGGCGCAGAGATAAAGTGCTGAGCCAAAGAGCAGGACTCAGGAGACTGCCTCGGGGAGGGGGCTTTATAGTGGAGCTGTGAGAGAGGGATTGGGGAGAGGTGACCTGAGCAGAGGTGCAGCAGCAAGAATGAAGGGTGGCAGAGGGTAGGGGAAGGAGGGAGGGGGGTCCCTGGATGCAGGTACTGGGTGAAGGGGTGGGCGGAGCAAGTCCTGGGCCTTGAATGCCAGGATGAGGAGATGAACCCTGGCTAGGAGACAGTAAGAGTGTTCTTGGGCAGGTCAGTGGGGTGGTGGGGCAGGATTTCTGCACATTAGCCCATTGGGGGGTTGGACAGTGGGAGAGGCTGGTTTCCCAACTTTGACCTAGACTCAAACTTGGAAGTGGCCTAGAGGGTCCTCCTACCCCCCACCTTTACCGCTACCACTAACCCCTGCATCCCTGCAGGTGGAGGCTCACCTGTGGCTCCGGTGTCCCCAGACCCTGGAGACACAACCTGCTCAAGGTCCCAGCTCTCCAACCCACAAGCAGAGCTTCCTCTGAGGAGGCCCTTGTTCCAGCTGAACCAAAGCACACCTCCCCCTCCCCTAATCCAAACTCTGCCTCCCCACTTGGGGCCACGGAGCCATGGTCTCCCTGGCCAGGAGTGAGGGTCCTTGCAGGGCTTGCATCTGTGATGTGCAGACAGCTGATCCTCCCAGGACTGCAAGTGGGCACCCACATGCCCTTCCCCCACGTGAGGGCACTAGCACCCTCGGTGGGCTCCCAAGGTTTTGCTGCTCCAGCTACCCAGTCCTGACTCACAAAATGATGGGGAAGTGACTGAGTAGTGCTGCTGCCACCGAAGAGAGGGAGGGTACAAGGCAATGCTCCGGAGAGCAGCCTATACCTCAGCTTCCAGCATGTCCATCCATGTGGCTGGATCCCCTCTGCACTGTTGCCCCTGTGCCCTGGTGGTTTGGGGTCTATGCCAGGACAAGTGCAAATGCCCATCCCACCCCCGATAGGAGCAGAGGAGGGTCTGGGGTGAGGCTCAGTCCATGCAGAGGCCAAGGGCTGGTGAAAGCTCTCTGGCTGCCTCTGCCTCTCAGTCAGCTGAGTTGCAGACATCACCCCCAAACCCAAGGCTTCATCCTTTCTCCCTCAGTGAAGTTGCCTCTTGGAAAGGTTCAGAGTGGCCTCAGGGGTGGGGTTAAGACTGAATGCACAGAGTGTCATCATTCAGGTCCTACTGTCCCTCCCTCCTGACAGTTGGCCACTATGGGAGTAACTTTATCCGCTAAATCTAGGCATGGAAGTAAACGAGGCACTGACAGCTGTCACTTTGCTGAACAGGGGCGTCCAGAGTATGAGAATGTTGGAGCGGGTCTGCACCACCCTCAGGGTGGCAGCCGGGCACTGTTCCTAAGGTGTTCCCAGGTTAAAATGAATTCAGGGGAGAATAGAAGAGGAGAGAATGGCCACCACCCAGGCTCTCCCAAGGGATGTTGCACTAAGACCCAGCAGCAGGTGGTCAAGTGAGAAGCGGGCTCTCCCCAGTGTGGTCCCACAATGAAGCCCTCAGGCCTGTCACTCAAGGTGGTGCTTCCAGAAAGCCAGACTCAGTAGGACCCTGGAGAACCCACAGCGATTGCACAGATGGCAGCAGCATTTTCAGGGGGTTTCTTTGCTCCTCAGCAAGCATTTCAGGTGCCTGTTCTAGGCCAGGCCAGGCCCCTGGTGTAGCTGGGCGGGCAGGCAGCCAGGCAGGTCCATCAGGGTGTGATAGGCAGCCACAGAGGGTGGGGGGCTGCAGATGCAAGGGGCAGGGAGTGGGACACTAGACCAGCAAAGGGCCTTGCATGCCAGACCAGAACTAAAGGGCTTTGGGAGCCAGAGCTGGCTTGAATTGGGAGCTGGAATGGGGTCCGTTTTGTGTTTTAAACAGATCACCTTGGGACCAGGGTTAGGGGTGGGAGGATGGATGGGAAGGGAGGAAAACGGGCCGGGATCCTGGGAGGCTTCGGTGAGTCTTGGGGAGGGGCAGTGAGCTGGGCCAGGGCAGAAGAGAGGAGGGAACAGTGATGGAGGAAAGGTCACCCGTAGGCTGATGGGAGGTGGTGGGGAAAGATGGGGGATCTCTGGCTTGAGGCTTGGAGAACAGCACGACCCCTGCTGGACCCTCTTGGATAGCTCCACCTGCCGAGGACTGTGGAGAACAAGGGATTCAATCCCACACCCAAGGAGAGAGAGACCAGACATCTTGCCGTCTCCAGCAAGGGCCTCCGGGGACTGTCAGTCTCTGTCCAGCCCAGGACCACACCATCCAACATTTTGCTGTCAGATGTCCCAGCTCTTTTTTCAAATAAGAGATGGGATGAGGCATCCCCTACCTGAGCCACAGAGGGTGCTTTTGGCTACTGGAAGTCTCCAAGATGAAGAGCTCGGAACCGTGGAGAGGTAAGGCACTGCCCCTGGTATGCTCTGCTGGGCGGGGCCCTCAGTGAGGCTAGGGCTGGGCCCATGAGCTTGACCAACGGTGATCTGGTCTCAGAGGGCTACAGGGTAAACCGAGGGTGCAGGGTCTCCCTGGGAGGGCACCCAGGCTTAACCACACGAATGGGTTTTCCCTTCCTCAGTCCACCAGCCAGACCAACAAATGGGAAAATGCTCTGCGTCCTGCTTCCAGACATGAAGCTGAACTTGCTCCAAGGAGGTAAGTGTGCTGGGGGAAGGCAGGGTGTCCACACCTGTGTCTGCCCCATTGAAATGCAAAGCCCAGTGTTTTAAGGCCCTGAAGGTGAACATTCCTCCAGAAATGGAACTGATGTACCAGCAATGATTCAGATAAATAATTTCAAATAAGTGATTTAAATAGACAGTTTCCTCTGGCAAGTGTTCCTAACTCAAGCAAGTTTGAGACCCTTTGGAGTAGAAGTAAAATTCCCAGGACCTAGAGGAGTTATTGTATGCTTAGTATTAAGAGACTTGCTGCAGCACACTAGTACAAATTTTGAGTTATAAGTCTCAATAATTCTTCCAAAATCCTTTAAAAATTGAGCGTCAACCCATGAACCAAGAGGTCACTGGTTCGATTCCCCATCAGGGCGCATGCCGGGGTTGTTGGCTCAATCCCCAGCAGGGGCGCGCTTAGTGTATGAAGAAGGGTCTCGCCTCTGTAGTGAGGAGAATTTAACAAAACAGCTCTGGCTCCACTTGACAAAGTTTCAAAGCAAGACCTGAAAGAAACAAAATTCTCCAAGTAATTTAAATGTGTCCCAGAACAAAGCTCAAGGATATTTAGAAGAATACAAAAATATCCAGCATCCAACAAGGTAAAAATCACAAAGTCTGGCATCCAATTAAAAATTACCAGGCATGTGAGGAAAAAGGAAAATAAAACCCATAATGAGGAGAAAAATCGATCAACCAAACTGACCCAAAACTGACACTGATGATACAATTAGTAAACAAGGACATTAAAACGGTTGTTACAACCACACTCTGTATGTCCAAGAAGCTAGAGGAAGGGTGGTACCAGTTAAGTAGAAATGTGGAAGCCATTTATCTGAATGAACAGAGACAGAAAGTAGATTAGAGGTTACCAGGGGAGGAGGGAATGGGAGTCACTGCTTCATGGTTGCAGTGTTTCTCTTTGGGGTGATAAAAAAAATTTGGAAATGAATAATGGTGATAGTTGCACAACATTGTGAATGTAATTAATGCCACTTAAAAATGGTTAAAGTGGCAAATTTTCTAGTATATATTCACTATTTAAAAATCCATGAAATTAAATAAGATAAACTGTTTAAGAAATAAACAGAGCGTCAGTGAGCTGAGGGTAACTTCAAGCAGTTAAATACATGTATAACTGGAGTCCCTAAAGGAGGGGAGAGAAGAGAGAAACAGGTACCAAAAATTTGAAAAAATGGGTAAAAATTTTCCAAATTTGATGTAAACTGTAAACCTACAGATCCAAGAAACTCAGTAAATCCCAAGTGCAAGAAACATGAAGAAAAGCATATCAAGACACTTCATAATCAAATTGCAAAAAGTCAGTAGGAAAGAGGAAATCTTAAAAGCAGCCAGAAGGAAAAAGACATTAGATACACAGGACCAGAAATAAGCTGGAAACAACCCAAATGCCCATCAGGAGATGAATGGATAGACAAAATGCCATCTATCCATACAATGGACTATTATTCACCCTTTTTAAAGAGGAATAAAATTCTGACACATGCTACAACATGGATGAACCTTGAAACACTATGCTAAGGAAATAACGCAGACACAGAGACAAACAGCATCTGATTCCACTCGCATGAGGCGTCTAGAAGAGGTAAAGGCCTAGAGACAGAAAGTAGACGGCTGGGGCCTGGGGGCGAAGGGCATGGGGTGTTAATTGTTTAACGGCTCCTCACTTTATGCTCGGGATGATGTAAGAGTTTTGTGTATGTATGGTTCTGGGTACACACATTAGGAATATATTTAATGACACTGAGTTGTACTTACAAATGGTTAAAATGATAGATATTATGTTATGTACATTTTACTGCAATTCTTAAAAGAGGCAAAATAAAAACTTTTTCAGACATATTAAAACTAAAATAATTCATCACCAGCATCTCTACACTACATAAAGTATTAAAGAATGTTCTTCAAGCAGAAGGCAAATGACACCTGAAATCCTGGATCTACACAAAGCAATGAAGGATGTCAAAAATGGTAATTATGTAATACAAAGATTTTTTTTTCTTATTATTTAAAGCTCTTTAAAAGATCACCAACTATTTAAAGCAAACTTAATAATGCATTATGGAGTTTATAACAGATGTAGAAATAAAATTATGACACTAGAACATTGGCTGGGAAGTATACTGTTATAAAATTCTTAGGATATATGAATATCCTTTGAGATAATATAATATCTCAAAGACTGGCTGTGATGAGTTATATCCCAAAAAACTAATAAAATAGCAAAACAGTTATATCTAATAAGCCAGGAAAGGAGATAGAATAGAACAGAATAGAATAATGGAAAATGCTCAATTAACCCAAAGGAAGGAGAAAACAAATGAAAAGACTCTTATATCAGCACAAGAAAGGGCTTAATAAATTAGAATTAAGTTAAAATATCTGCATAAATTCATTACCTTTTTTGTTTTTTAAAAAAATGCAATTTTTTTCTATCATCCTGCAGTGCTCCCAGTACTAATATGAAACCATAAAAATCTGCATTTCTATGGCCCAGATTTTGGTCTCAAATACAGTATTTGAATATATCCAGGGCCAAGGCTCCTTGGAAAGAGTAGCTGATTCCATGTTTGAGGCAGAAAACCTCAAACTGGGCCTAAAACATCTTGCTGTGAGAAAGTAAGAATTCTTTCGGGTCTAACTGAGGATGCATCGCCACAAAGAACAAAGAGTCGGTTTAAAGGGGCAGCCGCTGGCCAAAGACAGGCAATTGTGGATCAGAAACAAAAATTAAATTATGGTCAATGAACTAAGTTGAGTTTGTAAAAGACCATGAGTCTATTTACTCAAAAACAACAAATAATATTTTAGGATGTGAGTGACATGATGTTAAAAATTTCCACTGAGACTCAAAATTGTGACAGATATGAAATTCCAGAGGCAGATCGTCAACTACAGGATTTACAGAGGAAATGGTCGTAGGCCGATTCTGTGTCTCCTGAGGCCACTGGAAAGGCTGAGAGAAAAGGAGGTGGGAGCTGCACCTGTGCTGAGTTCCCCCCAAGGAGGCGGGGTCAGGGCGGTGCTCTCCACATTCCCTACCGTTGAGAAAGAGTGGACTGTTCTCTTTCTCGTGTTTGAAAAATCTAAAGTGGTCTGTGGGCTCAGGATAGAGGAGGCTCCTCTTCTGGAGTCCCTCTGGGAAGACAGACGTGGCCGCTTCCTGCGGAACACATCACAGTCAGTGCCTCCGAGAGACCCAGTGTTGGATCCTCCGAAGGACAAGAGAAAGTGCCCACAAGAGGAGTCACCTCTAGACTCTGGTCAGGCTCAAAAAATGCCATGGCATCCAGCCACGTAGGAATCACCTCCTTACCGCATGTCTCCTCCCTATCTTTTTTATACCTTACCAGGGTCAGAACAGCAGCTAGTGAGTGGGGTAGGTTGTGGGCGAGGAGATGGGGCAGAATCCTCCCCAGCCTCCTGCCCGGGTAAAGGCTCGCTCTCTGCCACTGGCCTGAGCTGGGGAAGGGAGAGAAAGGCGTCTCGACACTTGGAGGGGAGACGGCTCCTCCATAGTGCCCTGGCGACCACGCAAGTCTCTACATGGGCCACGTGGGCCAGGCTTAACCACAGCTGACCTGAGCCCTGGCAGGATGGCCCGTGGTCCCCCCGGGACGTGGGAACATGGGAAGATTGAGCCAGACGGTCACCCCGCCTCAGGGTCTAATGGAGCCTGAGGTTTGCTGCCTCGCCCACCCTAAGGTTCAGCGGGAGGCGATCGCACTGCCGGGCTGGAGCGTGGAACTGGCTCCTCAGCAACAGGGGGCCCACCCCTTTGTTGCATTGTCATTATTTGTTTTGTTGTCATCCTGTTGAACAAGGGACACAGGGAACGGACACCCCTACCGATCTTCATTTCTCTCTATGTAAATGACAAACTGTCTGAATCTAAAAAGGTCTTGTTGTTTCTTTACCAGCCAAATCTGTCAGCCTGGATGGATACCCCTCAGTGGGTTTGAGGTTGAGTCATAACTTGGTCTAAATTGGGACTGTGCTTTGTGACTTGCAATGACAAGAGGACCCTTTCGAGGCAAGCAGGAAAATGGCACCTGCTTCAGTTTTTATCCTGGGGCAAAGGAAAGGTTACCTACCAGATAAGCTTTTATCATTCCACTCTGTTATATCAGATCTGCTAGAGTTCCTCCTTGGGAAATGAAAATGATGGTAAATGTTTCAGAAAGTTTATGTTCTCAGACGAAGCACAGTAGTTTTGTTTTGTTCTGTTGTGCGCAGTAATTTTGACTCAGAATTGTAGTTAGGTGGATGTTGAATTCTCCAGAACTCCATCAAGCACCCTCACTGCCCACCTCAGAAGAACCTTGTCTCTCGAGGTGGAAGTCTTGGGGGGGACAGTGGAAGTTTGACTGACAGTGATTGGAAAGTGCTTCCTTTGTGAACTGAGAGTTAAAAGGCTCCTTCAGCAAGCACCTCGGGCTGCCAGTTTATGTCTGTTATCCATCTCCCTGGAAAGCCATGAAAAAGAAAAATACCACAGAGCAATTCCTAAACATGGACAAAAAATGAAACAAATACCCTAATTATGTGTCAAGCCAGTGGCATAATTAAACACAGCGATTTGCTAGCACATTCCCAGAGGGCTCTATCCTAAGGATAAAAGAACTACTGGAACTCTCAAGCAGCGCTGGGTCATCATATTGTTAGTATTAAGATGGATATTACTGTTTTGAATTTATTTTACATATAGTATGGAGAAGAAATAGGTCATTGTGTTACTAGGAACCAAGATAAGGGAAAAGAGATACAAATATTAAATCAAAGAAGTTATGTTAAAATTTTATGACTTGAAATTCAAATGGAAAATATCAGTATGTGCCCATAATTTGTTTTTTACTTTCTAAAATACTTATTTTTCCAGCTCCACCCACTTAAAAGTTTCAGAAACTATGAAAACAGCTCAGTAGCAATAGCATCCTCCTGCCTGACTATGGTCTCTAAATA